CAGAGCCATCCTCCACTTGCACCTCAGGCTTTGGGTGGCACATATAGGAATTTCCTTTATAGCTAGGTGGGCATGGGAAAATCCCCCTCACTGTGGACTCATGAGCCTTTTGTGGCAAAAAGTAGATGGTGTCATACTTGTGCCCCAAGAGCTTCAGGTCACTCCTGAAGACCTTAGTCTGCCCACTCCTCCAGATCCTCTTGCTGAAGCTTTTACTGCACGTGAATCCTCATCTCTTCCTCTGTCAGAGTCCCAAACAACCCACTTCACCTTCTCATCCTGGCCCTGTCCATGTTGCCTATTCCCACCACCTAGACGACGAAACACAATGAGGAAGGGGATTTCCTAAAAATTCTGTTCCCTCTCCAGTCATGTCTCCAAGTATTACTATGTCCCCAGCTCCATGGGTGCCTCCTATGACAAGCAGATGCTCTCAGATGTGTTTTGCTGAGTATCAGTCACTAGCTCCTCTGACACATATGCCCGAGCCCCCAACCTTCACACTCTTTTTTCATTCGTTGTCCCTCATCACCAGCTATCTGCCCTCCTTGTGTTTCATTTTGCATTGTTCTCTCCTTCACAGTATCACCTGCAGGACTTACACAGCTCTTTGTCTGACCGCTCAGTCAGGAAGAACCGGTCAGCACACTTCAAGGGTTCAGAGTGAAACGGCCTCTTTATTAAAATGGCTTCCGCCTTTTATAGGGTAGGACGAGAACTCACTAGAAAGAGGGCATAATTGGGGAGCAGCAAGGATGGAACATGCAAAACAGAGGGATGGTACAACCATAAAGGGAAGGGTACTGCAATGCAGCAAAATTCAGCAAATGAGAGGGAAGGGTCCAGGGCCATGAGGGACAAGGGAATTTACCAGAACTTAGGGTACAGTATATAGGGAAACATACAAGAAACTGGGAAACAAAATACAAAACCCAAAACGCTTCATTTAAAACAGTTCATATTTTCTTATATAGAGGTCTCATCTTCGTAACAAATATCTGGCTCTATGTTTCTTTTCCAGCTCTCATATCCTTCATTTTTTTCTCCTCCAACATTTGTCCACAACTGTTCACCACATTCCAAAATCCCACTTACTTCTCATACTCCTGCAAGCACCCTTTTATTGACATTTCTACTTTCTTTAGCAGAAAAGGCTATCATGGGGAATTCAGGAAAAATATGAGAAATTATTTAACCCCAGAGTAAAATTATATAACTACAATAATAAATACTTTCTCCTACAAGGCAAAACCCTCCACAAACAAATATGCATGAAAGTCCTTTCTGTGTGCGTGCCTCTGGTTTGATCAACAGTATACACTTTTGTGTTTCGGATGAATGTTTCCTTTAATTTAATTTCATAAAGAAACATAACTGGTTTCAATGTAGCATGAAGTTGCATAAATGATGTTAAACACAGTGAGTTTATTGAGGTTGCTTTAATCTGTATTTTCTTAATAAGTACAAAAATCCTCTAACATCACATTATTATTATTATTATTGTTATTATTATTTTTAAAATATAAGCTTCACACAGTTCAGATAAAACGAATCATTCCCATTTCTCCTTTTCTTTCTTCTTCCTTTTTTATTTTGATAGTTAAATATTTGAATTACTCACTAAGCAGAATATATAAAATTTATAATAAAATTTAAGAATTTATTATGAAATAGAAGAAAATAATTACACCTGCTATTACACTGACTTTTAAAAATATTATCCTCATTTCAGACCAATATGTTCTTGAGTCTACAGTATCTTATCAACTTTTCAAAGTTAAGATTAAGCTGTTGATTTATGCTATAATAGTACTTCATATCTGAAAACTCTAGAACTTTCTAAAGTGCTGCACCTAAACAGCTAGGACGTTAAGAAAGTAAATCCCATGAGTTTCTGATCTTTTGGCCTATTGTCTTTGTGTGGCAATTCTCATTTTGATGTACTAGAATTACATTTGAATTGTGTCTTGTTCTTCATTAAAATCTCATCTGAGTTCATGCAATCATGCATGTCTGCCATCTCTGATTTTTGAGCTTTCCATCATGATATTTTACTGTTAAGAAATTCCGAAAGTAAACTTGCAAAAACATGAATGTGGCTTGAATCCTAACGCTAACTGTATTTTCACTTTTTAATTTCATTTTGCATGAATTTAGCACCAGATAAGAATTTCACACAGATTATAGAGAGCATCTTAGTATAAGTATGGAAACTTTTAGGTTTGCAAATAGTCCTGGTCCCATATGTAACCTCTTCTGTGTTTCTGAAAGGTACTTAATTAAAAATGACAGTCCCTCCAAATGGGAGGCAGATGCCAAAAGCAGAGAGCAGATCACTGCAGTAAAAGAAAATGAACTAAAGTATGAAAACACAAAAAAATTGTCTATGTGAGAGAGTACCTGGATTTGTGAATTGAGGAGGGGAAAGTTTGGAAAGAGCAGGGAAGAAAGGGAAATATCTTGCTGAAGAAAGCCAACAAGGCGATTCTCTGGTAATGAGGACCACAGGTGGAGATGCTGCAGGTGGACAGCAGCATTTGCCGTGACAGGGTAGAAGTTGATCACAGGTCCAACTCACACAGCATCAGCAATGAACATAGATGCACCAGGTAGCTTTTCAAAAAGCCAGACACTAAAGCCCACAATCCATAAACTGATGAGCCAGACACTCCGGAGGGAGAGGAAAGCAGACCTCAGGCAGGACAATTGTTATGGTTTCTATTGTTTTATTACAAAAGGAAGTTCATGTGATGAAATTATATTGGCAAGAACAGTTTAACCATGGTTAAATTACAGTCCTAATGTTACCTTTCTTCCCTTTTTCCAACAACCTTTTATTAAAATCAAACACTGAGAAGCTAATTTGTATGTGATTCATGCAGATCCTTTCTTCTTTGCCTCTCATTTTTATTCCCACACAGACAGACACAATAGTGCTCACATTGATATAATTGGAAACATTGCCATTGAATTCAGTAGGAGCAACATCCAGCATAGCATAGGTGGGTTACTGAGTTTCCATGGGATATCCATTGTCACTATTCACTTCCAGTATCATGCAGGCCTGCTATGGGAACACAAAGTACATATGACAATTATGGCTTTAAAGACCACTACACTGCAATCACATCCAAATTTTCAGCCTTAGTGTACAGCAGTGCCTTAAGGGCAAACTGCTCTACTGCAGATGAATATTTAAGGAATAGAAATAAATGGGTGATTTCGTTGTACAATAACGTGTGCAATGTCCAATTTTCTATAGGAAATCATCAGGAACTATCTGAATCATTATGTTCACTCCAATTAGGGCTTCATGCAGTTCAAATTCATATAATTCTTGAAGCTAGCATGTGAGTTCCATAAATTCACATGGCAACAATGCTTGGCTTTCAAAACATATTCATAAAAAGCTGTAGAGTCCATTTCAAGCCACAGAAATGAATGTTTACTTTGACAGTCAAGGTAGTGATGCTGAAATACTAAAAACTACCTTCCATATCATTAAATACAGCCTTTCCGCTTTGCTAGAGTAGCTGGTAAAAAACGGCAGTCTGCTTTTTGTCATGACAGCTTCTCAACAGTTCATTTTGTAGGGTATTAATCATGAATGTTTTTCACGTTTCAAAAAATTATTTTTGTTTGCACAATGGACTAGGTATAATGTTTGGCAAACTGGTAAACTATGATAGACACCTGGATTTCTGAATTTGAGATTAGGTATTCTAAACTTCCAAAAACTTCAACCAGTCCAAAATGTACTCACCTTCTCAGACAGAACCTCAGTATAACACTACCCAGCTATGTGTAGACTCCCTAGCATACAGTTTAATAGTCCTTATGGACTATTTACCTTCAGTAGGATCACTAAAATTATCATGAGAGCTCACGAGAGCTGTACAAACAGCTGAATCAAACCTGGAGTGCTTTATGAAGAATGACAATCACTCTCTAAATCTAAGGACTGAAGAGCAAAATTCCCTTGTTTGGCCTTGTCACAATAGAGGAAGGAGTGCTGAGTGTCAAGATCTTTATATTCAAACATGTTTTGAAGCACTGACTGCACTCACAAGTTGGCCTTGTCTGCACAAAAATTAAAACCAAGCATGAGAGTGTATAACTCTCTTCCAGTCATTTTGCATCTCTATTATTACCTGCTTACTGGAATCGATTTTCAGCTTAAAAGATGTATATTTGGCTTAGGAAGACCCCAGGATAGAATAATTGCTCCAGGATAAATCTGTGCATGCTTTGCTCCATTTGTACGATACCTGATCAGAATGACCTGCTCCATGACCAGGCACTTGGACCTACACTAGGACTCCAAGAGCAATTCAGAACTAAGAGTTAATCTACACCATGTACATCTATAAAAAAGATGGAGTAGGAAGAAATAATTTGACAGCAGACTTTGGCTTGCCATTCAAGTCCTTAGATGTCTTTTTCTTCCGAGCAGGGGGCGTGCTTGTCTGCGAAGGTCGTCACTAGATAACAGTAATGACAGACAAGGAATGTAATAGGAACCTAAGGTCCAGTTAGTGTGCAAGCTGCACAATGTGCTCAGAAAAGTAATTGTAATATGGAAGCACTGACATGAAAGAAATGCATTTTGCTCTATTTATTAATATAAGAACTTAGTTACTAGAAAGAGATCTCAGGGGATAATAAATAGCTTGTATTTTTTCTATTATTATAGAGTATGGTAAAGTTAGTATTGTAGGCTTAGAAGATGAACCTAGGAGATCTGAATTCCATTAATTTTCTGGCTATTGTGATGGTACAAATAGGCAGAATTTTCTACAACAGGGAACACACTTGACAGAAGGGTCAAATCTACTGGGATATGTGGGACTGATTAAGATGATATCGTAAATGCTGTTTACCTAAGTCCTGGTTGAAAAAAAATGGATAGAAATGGACACTTGTTACCACTTGAAACATTAACTTTAAAGGGTCCCACAAAGTGCTGCTGTTCCTGAGTAGTATAAAATAAAGACTTACTGTTATAAAGAGTTTGGGATTTATTTCAGTGAAGCATTTTACATCTGCAGAAATCCACCATTTTCTCATGGGAAAGATTATTTTTCTTTTTAACAATTAGGTTAAATTTAAAATTACAATATTGCAGTTCAGAATTTTCATTGAAAACTTTCTATTTAGAATTACGTGATATAAGACTACAGGAGCATAACCAGAACTATAAAAAATGTGCAGGGTAGAAATCTGGTTTTTACGCAGAGACACTACTAGCAGAACTCCTAAACAGGAGCTCTCAACTTCAACATTTATTTTCATTTAAAGACAAATCACTTGTTTACAGTATTTTTAATGACGGTAAGTATGCACTAAGTGTAAGCAAAACAAAAATACTGAAATGCTTACTTACAACATATGTATTTGGATATCCAGGACGGAAACGTCATCCAGCCATGTGCTGATCCTCTGAATTCTGAAGCACAAACTGCTATTGTCTTCTGGTACAACTACTCAGTCATTACCTAAGTAACACTTCCTGACAGGTTTATCATCAGAGGCAGCGCCTCAATGGTCCATGGGCATTCTTGGCCTCCCAGGAGAAAATGGTAGCTTGTGATCTTTGCATGGATGCTTGACCGTAGAGTTGCTGGGGCTGGTGACTTCACCTTGGAGTGGCAGCATAAAATTCAAGCTGGCAGAGTGCAACTGAATATATTTGATAACAAATCATTTAGATTGTTCTTAAGAATTTTTATGCAAATGAAATTCCATCAAGATTTAGTGAATCATCTAAATGTAAAAAAACCCTAATGTTTTTCAATCTGGAGTGGCAAGCCTCAGCATGTTGTGAACAGTTTTGAGAGCTGTGAACCATCCCTCTGTCAATAAAACGTGAAGGGTGGGAATGCAAACACTTTTCTATATTTGCTGCTACCATAATTCATTCATTCACAAGCACAATGCTAGACCAGTCACAAGTCTGTGCTACCTTTTTCTACAATATAACTAGACAAAGAATGGTTCCATTCCACCTGCCTGCTGCAAAGTGGGATGAGAAGAAAGGGGAAACATAGGGAGAGGTACAAAATACTCTTTTCCTTTTGTTTCCTTGCTATGGACACAGATAAAATATTTGAAGCAAATGGGAACCTTTCTGACTGCAACTTTAAAAACTGCTGATCATATGCACAGTAGGATAAACAGTTGCCTGATTATGTACAGTATACATTGCAAGGCTTTTTATTCAAAGGAATTAGATTAATATTATGAAATATCTACTACTCAAATACAGATTATAATGTGTCGTATATGCATTATGCATATTAGTGACATCAGTGAAATACAGAAATCTGAACATAAGTGTTTATTCATTCAAATCCAGAAAAAAAATAAGTAACTTTATTAGTAATTACAAGGACACCACATGACAAAACAAAAGTCTTTCACTTATATATTAAGTGATAGAAGAGCACTGTCTAAGCATATATATTTAGTATTTTTGAATACACAGTTTATAAGCAAGCAATAATAAAGGATAATATGTTCTGATTTTTACACAGTAGCATGCCCAATTGATCTGGAAGATGCATTTCATTTGTCACTGAAGATTATGAAAATGTGCTGTACAACTTTATACTAAAAAATCATTTTTGCGCTATACTTTTGAATTTAACAAAAATTATGCCTTTCTAGTGAAATCCCAATAAGCAGGTAAAATATCCCATATGTGTGGAATTAATCCATAACTTTAAAGCAATTTTAATGTACTTAAACTGTAGTTTCATAGGTGTAAGTCAATTTTTCTGTCTAGTTCTATAGCCTTCTCTAGCACCAGTACCAATAACTAAATACGAATTGCTTTCCAACAAACAAAGTAAGTGTGGTATAGAAAACATTGTGCCGTAATCAACCAGAGACCTTCTAAAAGGTCTTTCACTTTCTTCCTATACTAATTAATAAAGAGAGAAGTGTATCACCTTTCAGTATATGGGGAATGGTAGGGTTTCCTAAACAGAAATTGAAAAGTCTTGTAGAAAAGGGGTATATCTATGAATGAAACTTCATCTCTCTACAAAAATATTTGATTAGGAATTGAAATTTCATGTGCAGTTGAAATAATTCAGTTCTGGTCAAAAAACTTCCTGTAAAGACTAAGAAAGCAGACAATTTGCAGGATTGGTAGGGTAACAGTTTACCTTCAATTTTAGGTTTAAGGGAGTGAAAGAATTAATTAAAATAACTAAATGCAAATTAAATTTCATGTCTTTGACTTTTATCTATCTCTGGCCTTCTTAAAGATTTTTTTTCTTCTGGTGTTCTCTTTTTGACTTTCAATGCATCATTTGTAATCACACGAGGTGTCCTGAGAGACCTTTGCACCTACACGGACGTCATTCTACGTCTTCATCCACAGTAGCCAAATATGTAACTCTTGCAGTCCATCTTTTCCAATAATATTAATCAAACTCTGTAGACAGTAAAAAATAAACCACATCAATTTCAGATTAGCTTTTACTCCTATTAAATTGTAAAGTACATATTCTCTACAAGATATATTTGGAAATCCCCTCTAACTTCTCCCAGTATTTTGATTTTATTATTCTGGCCATCAAATGTCAACTTGAATTCATCCACTACATCTTTCTTTTATGTTGATACTAGAGCTAGTTTGGACCTAGTGAACTATAAAAAATCATAGCAAATTCCCGTTGCAGCGTACTCTAAACGGGCTATAAATCCCCCACAAAAAAATGTTTCCTCTGCGAGTCCTTGAGTTTCAGAGTTATTTCTAATAGAGTCTTATTGCATTTCCAGGGAAGCTGAGAAGCTTTTTCTAGCTTCTCTACCTCTAATGATCTGTAAATAAGATAATATTTACTGCATTCTTAATGTGGAAAGCTTGATTTTTTATATTTTTCAGTAATTTTTTAAAATGCGGTTGTATATCCTTGTATTTTCATGTGGACAACTATTTCTGAGGTCAATGAGTTAGATTTTAAATTGATGGTCTTTGCTATAAAACATTGATTAGCTTCTCTTTCTTCTTGCATTATTCTGTGTTTGTAGCCATGGCTCTACCCATAGGGCCTTGAGTGATATTGTGAGACATTTTTCAACATTCTCCACATCCCAGACTAGGATTTTTTAGATCTACAACAGAAAATTTGGGTTTTCTAGGCTTTCCTTTAAACAGAAATTTCTCTTTTCTGCAATCTAATATGCAGGAATAAACCTCCAAGTTATTTTGTTGTTTGGGGTTTTTTCCCCTAGTTTTTGCTAATAACAACCCAAGTTCTGCTATCCTTTCTCATACTGAACATGGATTCACTGTATATAGGTGTCTTGCACTGAGTCATGGATCTTTCTACTTCTGACATATGGACAGTTAGCAAAATCTTCCCAGAAGGAAATTAGGCTATATAATACATCAAAACTCTCATAGCAGGAAACATTGGAAGAAAAGATTATTTTATATAGTTGGATTTAGTTTTAAATTGTAATGAGAGTTTAAGATGTAAAAAGGGACTTGAATTAATTGGAATGAAGTGTGTAAAAGAAACTCTGATGATTTGATTACTAAAGAAAGGATTTGCAACTATAGGAATCATGCAATATGCTGCAGAAGGAAGATAAACAAAATCCTGTGCTAACCTCACATGCACTTCCTTTCAATGAGTTTACAGAGCATCACTTCAAAATGTGTCATTTTGGTTTACAACAAATTACTAATGGATTGCAAATTTGAGGAAGCAGTAAATATTTATTTTATATTATGTAAAAGGATATTTAGCAGATGGGACTTTATGGAGAGATAAGGATGTAGGTAGTCCTATCCAAAGAAATAAGAAAACCAACCACGAATTAATTGATGGGTTGCCAGATGACAAGTTTGACTGAAAACATTCTCATAGAAACCAAAAACATTTAACTTTTCATTATATTCAAATCACTAATCTACAACATTCATGACTGCATTAAAAAAGTAATTGGTATCTGCAGACAGATAGGGAATACCAAACTTATGAGCAAACTAGGAGATACTGAGATAAGAATCATAGAATCATAGAATCAACTGAGTTGGAAAAGACCTCTGAGATCATCAAGTCCAACTCTTGATCTAATACTGCCGTGGTTACTAGACCATGGCACTAAGTGCCACATCCAGTCTCATCTTAAAAACCTCCAGGGACAGTGAATCCACCACCTCCCTGGGCAGCCCATTCCAATGCCTGATTACTCTCTCTGTAAAAAATTTCTTCCTAATATCCAACCTAAACCTCCCCTGACAGAGCTTAAGACCGTGCCCTCTTGTCTTACTGAGAGCTGCCTGGGAGAACCAATCCTCACCTGGCTACGACCTCCTTTCAGGGAGTTGTAGAGAGTGATGAGGTCACCTCTGAGCCTCCTCTTCTCCAGGCTGAACAACCCCAGCTCCCTCAGCCTCTCCTCATAGGACTTGTGCTCGAGTCTCTTCACCAGCCTTGTTGCTCTTCTCTGGACCTGCTCCAGCACCTCAATATCCTTCCTGAACAGAGGGAACCAGAGCTGGACACAGTACTCAAAGTGTGGCCTCACCAGTGCTCAGTACAGGGGAAGAATCACTTCCCTGGACTTGTTGACCACACTGTTCCTGATCCAGGCCAGGATGCCATTGGCCTTCCTGGCCCCCTGGGCACACTGCTGGCTTGTGTTCAGCTTCCTGTCAATCCAAACTCCCAGGTCCCTTTCTGCCTGGCTGCTCTCCAGCCACTCTGTCCCCAGCCTGTAGCTCTGCACGGGGTTGTTGTGGCCAAAGTGTAGGACCCGGCATTTGGCCTTGTTGAACCTCATCCCGTTGGAATCAGACCATCTCTCCAGTTTGTCCAGGTCCCTGTGAAGAGCCCTCCTGCCTTCCAGCAGATCAACACTCCCCCCCAACTTGGTGTCATCTACCAGTTTGCTTATGGTACACTCAATCCCCTCATCCAGATCATCAGTAAAGATATTAAACAGAACTGGGCCCAGCACTGATCCCTGGGGACACCACTAGTGACCGGCTGCCAGCTGGATGTAGCACCGTCCACCACCACTCTCTGGGCTCGGCCCTCCGGCCAGTTCCTAACCCAGCACAGAGTGCCCCTGTCCAAGCCATGGACTGCCAGCTTTTTCAGGAGAATGCTGTGGGAGATGGTGTCAGAGGCTTTGCTGAAGTGCAGATAGACCACGTCCACAGCCCTCTCCTCATCCATCAGGCAAGTCACTTGATCATAAATTGAGATCAGGTTGATCAGACAAGACTTGCCCTTCCTAAACCTGTGCTGGCTGGGTCTGATCCCTTGTCCATCCTGTAGGTGTTGCATGATTGCACTTAGGATGATCTGCTCCAGAACTTTGCCAGGCACTGAGGTCAGGCTGACAGGTCTGTAGTTTCCTGTGTCCTCCTTGCAGCCCTTTTTGTGGATCAGTGTAACATTCACCAACTCCCAGTTATCTGGGACCTCCCCAGTGAGCCAGAACTGTTGATGGAGAGCGGCTTGGTGAGCTCTTCTGCCAGCTCCCTCATCACCCTTGGGTGGATTCCATCTGGTCCCATAGACTTGTGAGGATCCAAGTGGCTCAGCATGTTGCTAACTGTTTCCTCCTGGATTACAGGGGAGATAGTCAGCTTCCTGTCTCTGCCTACCAGCTCTGGGGGCCACTTGTCCTGAGGATAACCTGTCTTACTATTGAAAACTGAGATAAAGAAGGTGATAAGTACCTCAGCCTTTTCCTCATCTTTGGTAACTATGTTCCCCTCCATGTCCAATAAACAATGGAGGTTTTCCTTGCCCCTCCTTTTGCTATTGATGTATTTGTAGAAGCATTTCTCATTATCCCTAACAGAATTGGCTAGATTGAGTTCAAATTGTGCCTTTGTCTCTCTAATTTTATTTCTACATGACCTAACTATATTCCTAAACTCTTCCTCAGTAGCCAGCCCTTTTTTCCATAGTCGGTAAGCTTTCGTTTTTCCCTTAATTTCCTGCAAAATCTTCCTGTTCAGCCAGGTTGGTTGTCTTCCCCGCCTGCTCGCCTTTCAGTACTCTGGGACAGCCTGCTCCTGTGCATTCAAGATTTCCTTCTTGAAGCATGTCCATCCCTGCTGGACCCCTTTGTTTTCAAGGGCTGTTTCCCAAGGTACCCTCTACCAGTCTTCTTAGTAGTCCAAAATCTACCCTCTGGAAGTCCAGGGTAGAAGTTTTATTGATGGCCCTCTTTGTGCCCCTGAGTATTGAAAACTATAATTTCATGCTCACTGTGTCCCAGACAACCTCCAACCACCACTTCTTCCACCAGCCCATCTCTGTTTGTGAACAGCAGGTCTAGTGGGGCCCCACCTCTGGTAGGCTCATTTACCAGCTGGAGCAGGAAATTATCCTCTATACACTTTAGGAATCTCCTAAGGCTGCCTCTTCTCAGCTGTGTTGAGTTTCCAGTAGATATCAGGCAGGTTAAAGTCACCCACAAGGACAAGGGCTGGCAATTTTGAGACATCTGCCAGCTGACTGTAGAAAGACTCATCACCCTCATCATCCTGATTGGGTGGTCTGTAACAGACTCCCATCAGGATGTCAGCCTTGTTGGCGTTCCCCATGTTTCTGATCCACAAGCAGTCAATCTTATTGTTACTGACTTCAAGTTCTCAGAGTCAAGAGAGTCTCTAACATATAGAGCCGTGATCTCACTTTTCTGAGTGGTAAGGTGATTCTTCTGATCAGGACTGACAGTTACCAATGCAGTTTGCATCAGACTTTGCTGTATAGGTAGAAAAAAAGAGGGATAGAGATGTACTAGATTTGTTTCCCAAACAAAGCCCAAGAAAAACTTTCCCAAAAAGGCTATTTGAATTCATGGATAACTATGTCTCTATCAAGGGACCCATGTAAACCCTAATTCTATACCCCTAAACATACAATCTCCATGAGGGTGATTCTGTGATTCTGTGATTCTGAGCTGGCCAAAGCTGAGCCCATCAATGATACTGTTGGTACTTCAGTGATAACATATTTAAGAAAGAGTAGAATTACTGTGCAGCTGCTGTGAGAGAGAGGAGTGAGAAAATGCAAGACAAACAACCCTGCAGGCATCAAGGTCAGTGAAGAAGGAGTGGGAGGAGATACTCCAGGTGCCAGAGTAGAGATTCCCCTGCAGTCCATGGAGGAAACTATGGTGATGCATGTTGTATCCCTGTGGCCCATGGAAGACAACAGTGTAGCAGACATCCACACTGCAGCCCATGGATGACCCTATGCTGCAGGTGGATAGACCATGAAGGAAACAGCAGCTCATGGAGAGGAACCAACACAAAAGTGGGAAAACAAATGTGAAAACTTTTTAAAATAGAGAAATTCTGTTGGATCACGGGATAAAGTCAAAGCAAGCTAGTTTAAAGGTGGGGTGATAACACCTCATCTTTCAGAGGAGTTGCCAAGAAGGAAGACGCTCAAAAGATATGGTTAAAAATCTGAGTGGACATTTGCACATGCCAGGAGGAGCAGCCCACAACAATAAAGATAGTAGTAAGTGAATTTACTTTTAACACTGAAGCTCTGAGAAAATATGAATTTAAGTTATAAGGAATACTGAAGGAATTAGTTTAAAGTTTAATGCCTCAATAGTTCTGGTACCTCCCTTTTCAGTCTTTTGACTTGCATGAAAAACATGGATCTGGAAACAAATAGGATTACTCTACATAATGCTGCAGTTCAAAAATTTGAATGGTCTAGGTTAAGACAGTCATACAAGTTCTGGAAAGTCACCAATATAGAGAGACAGGCAACTCTTGAATGAAACTAAGTCCCTCTGCATTGACTGGGTGTAGGATGTGATTAGTTGCCTTCTGTACTTGCCAACTACAAATGGCAAGTAACTATATAAGGTTTGATACCTTCTCATTAAACAAATTTATTTAGGTGAGGTGAATCCTAGACTGAAAGGCAGTATTTTGGGATTACTGAAACTTGGAAAATTTAAAAAAAGTAATGGTTCCTCTTGAGTGACTCAAAGTACTTTGTGACTAAGAGTTCAGTGAGCAATGAATACATTACCTGAACTATAAATTATTAAATATTATCATAACAATAGTAATTTTTTCTCAATTTTCTTCTGGTTGTATTTTTTGCACATGGTTCTCCTTGTCTCTTTCTTCTCGTTACTGAAAAATGTATTTGAATGCAGGCAAGCTTCTTCTCTCTTCCACTGTTTCAAAATTAATTTGAGAGAAACTCCCTACATCAGAATGGGAAAAATTACTTGAAGTATCAGACAGAAAGGGAGGAGAGTCCTGGCATGGGTCCATCTCATAATTAAATAATGATCGTGCTAAAATAGAACATAACTTGAATATCAGAGGTGCAGACACATTTTACATATTTGCTTATCACATTTTACAGATGCCTATTATCAGCCCTAACAGACACACTAAATCTTTCTTTCACATACTCCTCAGTTTTAAAGAATACAGAATTACTAAACTGAGTAATTAATCTGAGTATGGACTCAGACTGCTACTATTCTATGAAATTTTGGATCATTAAACATTAATTAGATTAAAAAAACTGCTTTCTAATTTTCATAGAGTGAATCAGATGTCATAGTGGTTTATATTTGACAGAAATTCTAAAGAACTAAGCTAGTATGCATGTGGAAAAATTACTGCATCTGAAGTGCACATATGCAGTAGGTACCTAAAAGTTCCTGAAATTGAATCTTCCTCATCTGCTTTTTTTCTTTAAACTCTTAAGAATGTTTATGGAACTAAACCTTTTTTATCTTTAAAGTTCTTTTTCCTAGAAGTTGGTTCATAGGAAGACCACTGTCCCCTATTTATAACTAGTCTCTGGTGTACCAAAATCTAAATTAGCAAGTTCCAGCTCAATGGAAAGAAAATGTAGGAGCAAAATACCTTAATTGTTAGATAGTCTTTATGTAAAAATGTCAGCAAGTCACACTTCATGTTTCTTTCCGGATTGCTGCCTTTTCCTTGGGGAGATGTGAAACAGGACATCCACTTAAACAGATGGTTGTTGCCTCTGAATTATTTAACAGCTAAATCAATGAGAAGCTTCTGCTGCCATGAGGAGAAAGAGTGTGCTGGAAGCATTCCTTCTCCTCCTCCTTCTGTTAGAAGTGGCCAGGAACAGAGTCTGCTATTGGCAGCATCAAAGCCTGCAGGGGTGGAGGATGCAAAAGTGAAACCTGGATTCTAGAGCTACCAAAGGAGAGCTGCTCTTACATGAGAAATATGTTTATCCTCTTCAAATAATATTGAGTCCAGTTTGGTGCACATCTATAGTTACTACACAGGGTTAATGGGATAATGGGACTGAAGGATTAAAATAAAAAAAAAAGAAAAAGAGAGAGAGAGAGAAAAGAAAAACATCAAAACCAAAAAACCACCACAGACAAAAAATCTAAGTAGCCTGTACTGTATAGCCTTGTAGCTTTGTAATCTACATAAGATATACTCAGGTCTCATTTTTAAAATACTGTGAGACCACAGACTAATGCCTTTGAAGTATGAACTCTGCACTGGGATACAGGTAGAGAGTTTACAGACAGTGTCTCAGGAGAAACACTGTAAGGCCAAATTTCTCAGTGCAGTCCCTTTTACTTTGAGATATAAGTGTATAATCCATTGCAAAGCCTAAGTATCGTCCTACTGTCACAAGAAGGAACACTCCTTGCTGACAGTGCCATCAGATTTATAAAAGCTTGGTATTTCCTTGGCAAATGGAATCTTCATGCAAACTTCATGCACAGCAGGTGCGGTGTCCCTCAACCCCAGATTTCCAGCCTTCTAAATTTGAAAATAAACAAGAAGCCTTGATTGAAAAGGCTCAGTGACACAGGAGCTTCTCCTCAGTCTTAAAAATGTGTTTTATTAGTGGAAGCCATGACTTAGAGCCAATAGTGATGATCACAGCAGTGAAATAAAAAATACCTCTTTAGGATGAGATCCAGTCTATCACAGCTGGCCAGCTGCGTCCCGGCGGGGCGGAGCCGCGGGATAAGGCGCTGTCCGTGGTGCTGAAGAGCTTCGGCCCTCCCAACCCCGGGCCGTCCCACCGCCGGCTCCCGGGAACCCCAAAATCAGGTTCCCCGCACACGCCCTTCCTTAGCGGTGAGCAATTTACACCGGAGGGCCAGCGTCCGGAATGGACTGTAGAGTCTGAGGCAAGCGGGTTAGTTTTGCTTAGCTTGTAATCAATCCTCATTTCTGTCTTCCCTTTAAGCAAACCACCCGAGCATCCGTCGGCTGTTGGACTGACTGCTGAGCCAAGCAATCTGTGCACAGCGGCATATACTTAATAGGCCACAGGGGAAATAAAAAAAAAAAAAAAAAAAAAAAAAAAAAAAAAATAAAGAATAACTGCACTTCTACCACCTGGGGGGGGAACCAAAAATTATGTAGTTTTTTTGTGCTGCTGAATGCAAAACAGCCTGGACAGAAACCTGACAAAGAGATAAATTATGACCAGTTCAGCAGTATCGTGCCTCTGAAAAAGTAAAAATGCATTTTAATATAAAGAACTAGCACTCTATGTATTAATGTTCATTAATAAGATCACCTTTAAATGTTTGATAGTTAAAATAATTTCGTAGTCTTTCAGTACCACTAGGTCTAGGGTAGGCACTCCTGTGCACACATATGAAAAATTCAGCCTATATTGTTATATTATCATACAGATAAAAACAATGAATTGTTGTGCAAAACTAATCTTCTGAATCAATCATGTATGGTATAACTTTCTAGTTAGTGCCCAAATAAAATGAAACAGAGGTCAAAACTTTTACCTGGCTAGACAGTGGCAACTTTTCCTTGTGGAATTTGTTGCATTTATATAAAAAGATACATATAGCAATCCTCTTATTTGCTGACATTCTGCAATCTTTTGGACCTTAAATCCTAACAGAAAATGTGTTGAAGTGTGGGAAGAGATTGTGTGAAATTCTAGAATGAGACCTCCTTAGAAGTGGAAATGAACAGACTAGAGGCACTGAGTTCCTGAGTATGGAAAGCATAAAGACAGAATACTGAGTATCATGCTATTATTAATTCACCTGCCTGCAAATTAAGCCAGTCTACAGAGTTACTCTTTTCTAACTGTAGAAAAATGAGGCTGTTTACTTTCTCACAGTGATGATTTATTATTTGTAATAAACAAATCAGTAACAACAGAAATTTGTTATTAAGGAAAGGAAGCACCAAAAGCACAAATGACCTTTTGGTACTCATTCCTTAATGCAATGAAAAATTTGCATAGTTTTAAACATTAGCATTAGATACAACCCTTGCTATACACTACAGTAATTAAGTACATTCTGAATCTCACTGAACTAGCACACACTTAAATTGTTTGGAGAATAAGAATGTATTGATGTAACTACTTATAATAGTCAAGTTTACACTGACCAAAGGAATAAATGAGTAAATGGCATAGAACTCATAGGTTCTCTGCAAATAAATTTCAGTTGGACAACACATGGAAATCATGTAAGTGCAATTTTCTTACCTATACATTTCCCTGTTAATCTGGTTTCATGCTACTTGTCAAAACAAGCTAACCATAAATCCAGGTAATCTGGTTTTCCAATAAACTCTAAAATTTATTATTAATAAAGACACTTTACGTCTCTCTATTATTCTTTCACTATTTTAATGGTATGTAAATTATATTCATTAGATTTTAATTTTTTTCCCTCCAAATCTGCTTCATTTTATCCTAGATTATTCCATTAACTTTACAGTACTTCGGCATACTTCATTGACTGTAAAAGATGTAAAAGTGAAACATATCACTTAAAGTTCTATACCAACTTTGTTCTGTATCATATGAGTAAATAAAAACCAAGCTTCTCTTGAAGTTCAGTAGACAACAACCCACTAGATATGTGGACTGTCTGGAGGTTACCTAGATATTGCACATAGAAGCCAAAGAGCTATGATCATGTATCTGGCAAGCAGCATTCTGCAGAAACAGAGTCTCAAGAGTTCTTTCAGGGGTATTGAGACTACAAGCATAACTACTAGACAGGAGGCACTAACTTCTCATTGTACAGGCAATAGGAAAGCTACTTACTCTGTTGCCCCCCTTTTTTTTTTTTTAAGATTGACTTACAAGACCAAATTTAATTATGCAGATTCAGGCCGTAACTGTGCAAGGCTGTAGGCAGCCTTACTGTCTATCTAGAATCCCCACCAACTATGAACAAGTTAGACCTGCATATATCCATAGGTGTGAGTGTATGCACATACAGCTGATGATGGGCTTGATGTTCTTGCAAACAGGAAGTTTTCCCTGAGAAACAAAATAAAGTCAAGCCAAATGAAAACGAAGAGATCTTTTTTCCCCCCCCCCCCCATCTTAAATATAGTAATTTTTAAGTCTGATCCATGATTTTTGAGCTTGTAGTCTCTGCAGATTAGTAGAAAATATGGGAAAAAAAACCACAGACATTTTTTATGTTCAAAGCAGCCTGAAAACAGCAATGTTTGCAGTTTCAATTTGAAGGTATCTTTTTCAAGTAGAGGAAAAGCAAACGTAAGCCCAGAAGTACAGATGGCCAAGAATGATGTAATTAGATCCAATGGTCTTGCATGAATCATTCTGTTGTACCACTGATGGACTGATAGCCGACCTCACCCACAGACTTCATTCTGTTTTAAGTAAGTCACTAAATATAGAAGCGAAAATTTTGAGTTCATTGAGGGTAACACATTTTCTGTGCTAACACAGTAAACATCATTAAACTTATTCAAAAATAGAAGTACTTGCCTACGAACATCTATGAAAGTGAAAAAAACTGTGGACTGCTTATTGTCCACCTCACCAAAGAAAATATTTTCAACAGCCTGCAAAACTGCAATGGTTACATGATACATATATGAGCTCAGTATGGCTGGGACTGTTGTAAAGACAAACACACAAAAAACCCTAGGACAGATACATTTAGAGAGAACTAATTTTAGACTATGGCCTGCTAGATTTACTCATATCTCTGCTTGGACATCTGCCAGTACTCTGACATTGCAACAAACATAAGCAAGGAAAAAGCTCATATACATTCCATCATCCTTTCTCCCACAGGCATGGGTGGGTGCAGTCAGTCTAAGGTTTTAAGAGGTGATCATCTGGGGTATGTTCCCACACATCCATATGAATGAATTTGAGGATGATTATTTTTATATATTCCACATACCAGTGCATACACGCATGCAAAAATAGACTAATATACTATATTTACAACCCAGATATATACTGGTTCGTTTCCAAAACAGAAAACTGGCACACATGAGGGCTTCTACATTTCTATTTTAATCAGCAAATATGCATGTCACCTTCACAGACACAGACATATACATGCACATCATATGTATATACACATATCTATGTATTTCTGTAAAGGGATCAAAGTCATAAGGGTAAAGACATGCATATACTTGATTCCGAAAATAGTATCACTTCTCAGTAGTAGACTATCTCATCAACCTGTTATGAAAAAGGCAACTTGCTATCACAAATGTAACTGCCATCCTCAAAGTCCAACATAAAGTATGAAGCTCTTACTATCTTTGTCTTAAAAAAAAAAAAAAAAAAAAAACCAAAATCAAAACACCACAGTTTAATGTTCTCATTCTGTCAAATACATTTATTTCAGGTATAGTACTGAAGACAGTTTTCATTAAAATAGCCTGGTGCTTTATGCTATTTCACATGACAGGACCAGCTCATCATGTTTTTAATTTTCTTAGTTAGGTGACCATAGCACAGAAGGACATTTTTCCCAGAGGGTGTCAAAAGAAGTCTCTTTCTCATCTTTACCACAGGAATTTGCAGAGCCTTGAGCAGGACAACCACTTTCTTTTCCTTTGCAAAGGTTTTCAATGTGTTCTCCCACCTGTAGAGAGAGTTCTCTGCAGTACTCCAAGGTTGGATCACCTAAGGGAAGCTGATCTTCCTCCTAAAAATTCCTAATGGGTGTACGTAATTCAAAGACAGAAGGACAATTTGTAAGAAAGAGTCACAAAAGAGCAAAATAGTTCTTTACACCATCAGCCCTGCCTTTGTTACACAACTAGAACACAAGCCTTCATATTTAAGTAGCTTTTATTAGAATTTCAGGTAGTAAAAAAGGAGATTCCATTAAAATATTTTTAAGTTTCTAGAAAAATATATTTTACTCTAAAGCACTCTGAAATTCTTTTTTTGTGCAGTCCTGACAGTTTGACATTCAAAGATGGATGGTATGACAGTCAGCCAATATAACACTAGCTTGTCTCTGAGTCACAAAATGACATCTGTGCAGAAGGTTTTGTTTGTGATTATTATCTGGATCCGTTCCACAGTGCCTTCCATATCACTTAGATAACAACTACACTAACATTAGATTGTCATTGTGAAAAATAGGAAAGCATTGTTTTAATTGTTTTATGGTTAGAAAGAAAAGTAAAGAAAACTCCAAGTGTTATGCCTAAGTTAACATAGAGAATTGAGATGGGACTGGAAACCAGAGCATATGAACCCCAGCTGAGTGTTTCATGTGCTGGCCCCCTATTTTCCATCTCACAATGATGTCCTGCTGTTTGGAAAGCTGAACATCCCAGCTTCAGAAGTTCTGTAACCAGATGCCAGAATTCACAGTCAAGGAAAAGGCATAAACAGCAAAGACAAAATAAGACCTGCACAACAGCAATGCTTAAATGCAGAAAATAATTCTTCAGTTTGCTGTGCCATGTTATATCATCCTTTGGGCAACAAATGAAGCAATGTTGTTAAGCTTGCCATTTATCATCAACAGAAGTTTTTCCCTCAGTTTCAGCAGTGAGAGGAAAAAAAATCATTTGCAGTCTTGGCTTAATTATTAATTTGGAATGGATGCTATTAATGGCCCTTTTCCTCCTTGTGAAATTACTGGTAAATCATACTCTGGGATCAATCCTATGTATAATAAAGAAAAATTTATTATTTTTTCTGAAGTAAGGCACATACAGATGAAAATACTTTATTTCTTTAAAAAACACTGAGCAAACAGTTCTGTCAGAGCAAAATAGAAGCTGGCTTCTAGTCTCATTAATGAAAAAGGATTGAAAAATACTGTAGTTTCTCTCTGATTATTTCAAGTTGAGACAATATAGGGGAAAAAACTTTTTCTAAATATTTGTTCACATTTTGCTTTGGCATTGCTATTTTGCATTGCTATTTGATTGCTATTGGTTTATATTTCTTTTCTTCAAATATT